ACGGAACCCACTGTTGCCGCTCTGCCTTGGGTCTCATTCTCGGGCCCTGATAACAGGCGCACAGCGGCTAGTAGTCTAGGCAGATAGCATTACCGGCAAAGGTAAGGCTGACTAGAATGGCCATAGCGATCTTATTAGCCAGCGTCAGCCAGTCATACCCGGACCCAAGTAGTGCCCAACCCGAGGCCCGAACTCGCGACCTTTCGACTAGAAGTCCAATACTCTAACCATTGAGCCCCAAGCTCGTTATCTGGCCAATGTAGATCGAAAGATATTGACACTCGCTGATGAAAGTTCACCGACCGCTAACGGAACTCACTCATCAACAAGGGTCAATATCTCCTGAGCTAAACCGGCAAGATAACGAGCTCGTGGATGCGATCTCAGCTTAGAACTATCCACGGAGCACGTGCTAATCAATCAAACACGATGCACACTGAGATAGAATCACGATTGGACTCGGGAAGCGAACCGAGAATCAAGGACGCTTTTGCACCTATATTTATAGTCAGCAGTTAAGACCAGGCCTTCACAGGAGGGATTGTACGAAAAGAAACATCCTAGAATATTCTGTAGCAAGACAAAAAGTAAAGCATACAGGTGGACTACTACACCGTATTACAGTGGAGCCTCAGGTGACGAGCAGCCCCATCTACGAGCCACTAGCAGAAACCCCTCCTTTTGGGAAACGTAGCCAATCAAATTGCACCAGTTCACTGATTGGCTTCTGATGACCGAGGATCCACGCCATTGGAGCAAGACTCAACGGTGGACACAGGCACACGCACACAGGCACTGACAACACGTTAACAGAGCGGAAGCTCGGCAATCGAAACGTATTTTCAGCTAGTGGTTCGCTCGTTAGCTGAAATGCTCGTTGATGGAACTGCTCGTCACCCGAGGCTCCACTGTACTTTCAGTCCGAGTGTCTCTGTGTGAAGGCGACGCCTTCGTTGTAGACATTTGGAATTCCTTAGAATCGTGCCAAAGTTCGGCCTTTGTGTAACACGTGAGCTATTCAATCGTCAGCGTTGCACGCCAGTTTTTTACTGTCTATAAATTTGAATTAGTTTCGCTTGTCAACAGCATTGGAGGGCTAGGAGTTGTATGTTCCTTGCGAATTCAACCCCGTGAAAAGGCTGACATGAAATATTACTGCGATGTTGTTGGTGGCGGAGAACTGGAGTACAATATTTCGGGCATATCCGTGCGTGACAAGTGCCTAAGAAACCACCTTGGCCCTGTTATAACGGTAACAAACTGACGTCGCGTATGTTGTATCTCCAGCCTCAAGGGCAAGCCCCGACATTGGAAGTGGACTAGCTTGGCCTCGCGTCCGCTGTTGCAACTCTCTCTCTCTCTCTGTGTCAGGGGGACAGTGTCTTATAAGAGAGTGTCTAGTGCGCTTTTGCCTGAAGCCTGATTGGCGCATTGAGACAAATGCCACCAGTGGCGCGCGCGAGCAAGCGCGGGCATCTGTTTCCTCTCCAGAGGTTAAGGTCATCTCGCGTGGACAGTCATCGCCTGTTTGCAGTCAGAGCTAACAAACAAAGACATTTAGCTAGGCTCGACGCCTTAGGAAAGCCAACAAGGCTGCTAGCCTTTGGTCGGGCTACCATCCTAACTGGCCCCGTGCTCCCGTATATCGCATCAAACCTTTCTACGTCCCAAAGGTCGTTGCATTTTAAAGGATGTTTTGAATTTGTCCGCATAAGGTCATTGTACATTCTGGGCTGCAATTATTAATTTTTATCATGAGCTAACTGCCGAGCCAAAAAATTAACCTTACATCAGCTGTATAACTGGTAATTAAATTCACGGCTTTCAGCGTGTCTTCACAGCTCAATTGATAGAGCGTTGGCTGTACTACAGTCTTCCCTACTGATCTGGGTTCGAACCCACCGAGGCCACGATTTTTTCACAATTGGGTCAACTGAAGAAAAAAACTGCTGAATTTACACAAAGCAAGCCTTTTTGCACCATCTGAATCGATTGAGTATCAAATAAGCGTCTTTGGGCGAGCCTGATCTCGAGAAAGTCTTCTGTTACCTACCCAAATGCTTAATCTAGGAACTGTGCTCGTTGACTGAAGCTTTCGGAGTCAGGAGCGAACAAACATTCATCGAGCGGATTTGTGCGAAGATGATTTTTATAGTGCGTTCTCGCAACCTTTGAGGGATCGTATTCCATCCTATAACCAGACGAAACATCTGTAACATTTAATCATAGCAAACCGACAGCATTTCCTACTTTAACTCATAAATCATTAAGGTGAATGACCCACTGCACATGGGTTTAAATCTAAGGCCCCCGTTACTTGTGGCTGGATGATAGTGGTTGCGTTCGGCAGGGGAGTCAGAACCGGTTGTTCTAGTTCCCCTTGCCTTGACTAATCATGCTTTTGATTGTTACTTAAACCCTGTTATTTCTTGTTTCAGCCGGAAGGCAATGCACCGTATGGAATCTATGTTCGGCAGGTTGTCGTGGGTGGAGCAGCAGCTCGTGATGGACGCCTGGAGACAGGCGATCAGATCCTAGCCGTACAGAACTGCCCCCTCATTGACTGTGACCAGTCTGAAGCTGTTAAAATGCTTGCCCACAATTCCACCGATCAGACCGGCGTCCATATGGTGGTTGCAAAACGAGCTGCTCAAGCACGGGGGATCCTTAACTTGATAAATGCCGGGGAAGACCAGTCTCCTGTTTCCGCTCGACGCAGACGACATATCAAGAGTGCTCTGGTGGCGG